TTCTTGTATTTCTCCTTCAGTTTTAAGTATTTTTCATCTTTGGTCCTGAAGGAGGAGGGAGCTTTAGAAGATGGTGTCGCAGTCTTCTTTGATCTGCATTCACCTGCAAAATGTCTGGGCCGATGACAGTTGTAGCAGACAGCTGAAGCCTTGTCTATTCTTTCAGACTTTGGCTTCTCCTTGAAGGATAGCTGAGGAGATCTGCGGAAATTGCTCTTGCTGGCGAACCTCCTAAATGACTTAGTCAGCAGTGCTAGGGACTCATCAAAATCTGTTAAATCAGATTCTGGAATGTCCTTAGAAGAATCTATCTCCGTGATGACCACGAGAGGAAGAGAAGAAACAAAAGGGGTAGAAGTTTCAACTGAAGAGGCTTCAGAGATCAAAGTTAAAGGAGAGCTTTTCATTTCCCTGGACTCTTTTACAAAATTTCTTTTCAGTTGACGAGATTGCTCATGGTTGAGCAGAATCCCGTATAAGGTAGAAAGAGAAAGAGTGGACATGTCATTTAACATCTTGAGACACATGGAAAAGGTGTCCCAAGACTCAGGAAGGCATTCTAGAAACTTAGTCAAGGTTTCAGAATTAGAATATTCCCTGCCGACAGCCTTAAGATCAATAAGCAGGCAATTAAATCTTTGATGTACTTCAGACAGCGTCTCAGACTTTCCACAGATAAAGCTTTCATATTGTCTTACTAGATTGATCTTTCTAGTCTCCTGAACCTGAGTGGTTCCTTCATATTGGACACAAAGTGTATCCCATACGGATTTAGAAGTTTTGAGTTTCATCACTGAGTGATAGATCTTATTAGGAAGAGACATAACTATTATAGACCGAGCACGCGTGTCTATAACTATCTTCTTCTTGTCCTCATTTCTCCACTGATGTGGAAGCTTTGGAATCTGCCATTCAAGAATCGTAGCAGTCGTAGCTATTGCTGGAACAGCCAGAACAATAGCAAATGGAATATATGGTCCATTTTCTATGTAATATGGAATTTCAGGATCCACACCTTCCAGAAAGAGGGACATCCGGTTCTTCCAGAGAATAAAGTTGTCACGGACAAACCGTGGAGGTTTGGCAAGAGAGTCATTATCTTGTGTGTGTGTTTTCAATTTGTAAAGCCATTTGTAAGCAGTAAAGTTATCTAAGAAGAGATAAATTAATACAGAAAAATAGCCAAACACAAGGAAAGAAAGAAAACACTATTCTGATACCACTTGTTGGTCCCGTAAGGGTCTACAAGAAGAGAAACAGTTTGTAGAAGGGGGGGATGAATACAAACAAAGTATTTTCAAATTTAAAATATATATTGATAGAGAAGATCAATACAAATTTTACAAGATTGTTTGCGGAAAGATAAGGTAATAAAAACCTATCTAAACAATCTTTGGTTACACACAATRCTTTAGCAATTACAAGAAAAGAAGTTGCTAAAAGAAAGATCCTTTACTTTAAGCTAGAAGATGCTTGGAGTAAGAATTAGGTTAGAGAGAGAGATGTGCGCTCTCTGCATGGAGAAGAAACACTTTTATTTATACCCAGTGCATTAAATGTCCATTTAATGCAATATGGTAGGTTTAGAGTGCGTGTCAAGCCTTAAGAGGAAGGCTTGTCCTTTGCTACAGTGAATAGTACAAAAGCACTATTTATGAGCAGACATCCTTACCTAAAGTTGGTAGACAAAGAGTCGACTAGTCGGCTTCGTACCGTACTAACTTTTGTAAGGGTATGGGTTTTGTCCTTTGTGTGCATAAGGACAAGACAACAACAATCGTGCTAAGCAAGCTTCCTTTGATCGCTGAATGCTGGAATGACCTGAAGGTCTCATCATCATTCGCTGAAGCTTGAGCAGTCTTCACACATATGTAGACAGGCTTGTAATCACTGAATACCGTTTCAGATCACGTACTCGCCGATCTCTAATCTTCAGTTTCAGTCTTCGCCTTTTGCTGAAGGTTCTTTGGTGTGAGTGTCGTCTTCTTGAAGTATTGCTATCTCTGATAGATTTACAATCCAAGTTCTTCAGCGATTACTGAACATACTCAATGAAGATCGTTGGAACTGAAAATACAGAAATATAAATACAATGTATAGGTGAAAATGGATTATCATCAAATCACTGAGAGAGAGGATCAACAAGAATGAACTCACAATACTAGGTTTTGGTGAAAACCTAGAAAATAAAGGAAACCCTAGAAAGTGGAGAGAAACTTAGATGCTTGGTTCCACACTTGAAGCTCTCTTCTACTCGTTCAATACTCAAAAACTCCTTGAGAAATCCCCCTTAAATGAGCTCTTATCGAAATTTAATGAAGGGAGAGGGAGGGAGAAGAATAGAGAGTAAATGAAGAAAGAGAGGCTACCAAAAGAGAAACACTCGGCTGGAACAAGGTGAAGCAAACAAAAGCTCGGACTACTTATGGGGCAACTTAGGTCGCCTGACCCTCAACTTGGCTCAAGCGCCTTCAATGCGGCCTCCAATGGTCGCCCGTTTTTCTTACTCGAGCGCCTCTCCTACCTTGCATCATTCAGACCAGGTGACTTTAGCCCGTGAGCCTTAAGGCGCCTCCTATATGGCCTTGGCCTCTGTTTGATTAACTTTGAGCTGCACATAGAGGGAGGAACAAACAGTAGCTTAGGCTACTTCCCGGAAGGCCACTCCAGCCACTGTTTTGCATGATTTTCTTCGTTAACAAACAGCCGACACTACCCAAAACCACATATACGCATAAGGGAAACTCTAGACTTTCACGAGATCGATAAAATCAAATAGAATGAAGTCGACGAGGCTCAAAAGGGAACATCAAAATCAGTTCTAAAGATCTTGATAAAAGAAAATTACAGGTGTTACATTGGACCAATGTTGTAACAAATATTTCGCATCTCCTAATTTTGTTGGTAAAATTTACTAAAAAAATAAGACAAGTTAGTTGTCTGTTTGAATATTTGTTGCTTTAAGATTTGTAACTTTTTCTTGGTATCATTTCGATTTTTGAAAATGAATTTGATTTGTATTTGGTCACATATGAACCATCATCATCATTTATGCATACAATTTCAATACACAAGACTTGGATTTTTAAATTGAAGAATTCTTTTATATATATATATATATATATATAGAGAGAGAGAGAGAGAGAGAGAGAGAGATTTTTGTCGTTTGAAATTGCTTAATAAGAAGTTTTGTTCAAGTTCCTTTGTTTTGACAAGGATTTGCTACATGTCATTGTTATTGCGTATTTATGTAAAACACAATGTCGGAATTGGTTTTTATAATTCTCGATTTACTAGTAATTTTAAATAACATGGCTATTTTGTTTTGATTCTGAAGCTACATTTACTAGTTCATTTAACAAATTATATTTCAAAGGGTGTTAGTATATTTGTAAGAGCAAATTACAAATTTCGTCCATGTGCTTATATGAAAATTTGGGTTGGGTCCCTCAGATGGAATTATTATAAGTATGGTCACTATGGTTTTAATATTGTTATGGATTGGATTTCTTGACCTACCACCGTTAGCTTTAGCTTTGTTAAGTCAGGGGTAATATGGTCAAGTTATCATTTTTTAATAATTTTTTGGATTGTACAAGTTTGGATGCCAACAGTACAACCATACAAAGCATTTTATGATGAGAAAAAATAACAAAACAAAATTTAAAATCCATCTACCGATCTATGCCCTCCATCTTCTTCGACCTCCTACCACTTCTCCCGCCACTACTCCGGCCTCCTCTCTTTTTTGGCATACCCCTTCTCTGTCCACCACCTTTTTCAACCCCATTATATGCAGATCCAAAACCAAACTACATATCTAAAACCAAAAAGGAAAAAAAAGATCTTAAAAAGCAAAAAACGAAAAACATATCTAATACAAAAACACGAAAAGTAAAGCTTAAACCAAAAACGAGTGAACGCCTTCCCCTGTTCATCCCCCCAAATCCCAATCACCTAAAAAACCATGAGAATATTGGAAATCGCCATTTGGATTCCATATACAGCACCTTACCCGTTTGGGTTTGATGCTTTTGGAGATGTGATATAAAATGCTTCCTTTCGACGGATTTGACGCTTTTGGAGATGGGGAGCTAATCACTGTCCAATTCCACTGCTATTTTAGCTATGGGTCCGGTTCTAAACTCATCACAGATACTGAATACGCACTGATGTGATCATCATAAGCATGAAACAATATTTGGATCTAGATAATAATCATGGAGGTGGTACCGGTGGTTCCAATTTTAGAAGGGTTTTAGGTCTTTGAAAAATACATAAATGTTAGCTTTTCTAAAATTTCGTAATCATATGTTTTTGCCAAGATATGGAAGAAGGATCTCTATGTAAGAATGAATATGACTTTGTTACATGAGTGAAGTTAGATTAAGGGACCTAATCGGTAACAAAACTGAAACCACAGTGACGATACTTTGTAATTTATTTTGTTTGGGGATCTAATCCGTAATTTATACAAGTACAGGGACAAAATTTGTAATTTACTCTTTTTTTTAATTTATGCGTACAGAAAGAAACCAAAAATCACTTGATCAGCGAGCGAGAGCGCCAAAGACTTGTTTTTGAAATCGGAATCTCACCCCCATTCACTTCTGCAGCTGTTCTCCCTTTGTTGGTCGGCCATGGATCATCGTGGAGCTCTGATGGCGTAATCTGCTTCCAACTCGAGTTTTTCTCAGTTCCTGAGCACATCTGTGTGATACATGCAACAGAAATGCCTGTGAGATCCGTCGATGGACAGCAGGGAGGCTAACCTTCCGGCAGACAGCAACCATGATTCTAATCTCTACCGTTCATTCAACGCAACCACGTCGTCCTCTTCATCTTCCTTCACTTCTTCTCCCCCTGACTTCCTTCGTAACGTTCAAGCCGCCTTCAAGCGCCATCGTACGTACAATCTCTCTCTCTCTCTCTCTCTATGCATACTATAGCTTCGTTAACTTCTAGTTATTCGATCCTCACTGGATGATTGGAATTAGGGTTTTCTTTGCCTCTATTTCAAAACTCTGACGACTCCAGTACTAATCAGCAACTGGACTAATTTATCAGTAAAACTTAGGGTTTCCTTTGACTTCATTTAGTTATTGGAGGTGCCATTCTTAATCCAACAATGGCTTGACTGATGGATCAGATTTATGTTTACTTAGTGGGCTGGGAATTTTCATTGACGACACGGGTCACCAATTTAGGGTTTTCCAGCGTTCCCAAGGAAAAAAATCATCTATCCGAATTTTTTTATCGGTGATGTATCTGTAAATTTTCTTCGCAATCTTTAATAATCTATCTTCAGATAACTCTTACTATGTTTTCAATCAAAACATTAGCTTTTATTAACTTCGACTTTTTTCTACTGCAGGTATGATGCCACAGTTGAACAATCTCCAACCAAGACGTTTAGTGGTTCCGCGACAGGAAACATCAAAGAGCTTAATAGATTCCAAAAAGACTGATAAATCTCATGATGTTTCAGTGAAACAAAGAGTGCAGGATTCAAGTGCACAGACTAAGAATATGATGACTGTTACTACTGTAAATCAGGAATATGCTTCAATTACACCACCATTTATTTCAGGTACACCTACTGAAGAAGGAAAATTTAAATCAATTGATGCTCAGAGAGGTCAACCCAGTTTCAGCTGTGATTGTAGAAGCAGCAATATGGTGGATTTTCCATGCTTAAAATGCGGACATGTTCTACTGGTTGATGGTCCAAAGAAGGTTCAGTTTGCATTGGGAAATGACCCGAGATCGCATGGTAAAATTTTGCTGTTTCTGCCAATAGTTTCAGTATTCATATAACCTTTTTCTTGATACGGTGTATAAGATCATGTTAGCATTTTGCTGTTTCTGCCAATAGTTTTATCTTGTCGTCCTATTGATGAATTGTTTCTATGTGCTTCTTGTAAGAGAAACTTATTTGCTACAAGTTATTAGTGGGCTGTATCTAACATGATGATATACAAATAGACATGTATGTCACATATCCTTATCAAGTTGAGATTGCCAATTATTGTATATACTGCACAATGTTTATGCAGGGTCTGATGACCACATGGACACAAGAATAGGCAACTTATTGACTCATATGAGTTCACTTGCATTGACAGAAATGGAATGCGACGTAAGTAATCAACTAGATGGCTCAACTGCTCCCAGTCATGATGCGAATAACCAGAATTTTCATGATTTGGATCATCAGATTAATCCTTTAAGAAACTTTGTACATAGTGAATTTGGCCACCACGTGACTCAATCTTCACTTGTTGGCGCTACTAGTGCTACCACAACGCTAGTGAATTCAGCATCTGCTCCCAAGCTTACTTCAACAACTCACAATTCCCGACCTCAACACAATAACTTTCACGCTGGCAACTCATTTGATAGCTATCAAGGTGTGGCACATATTGATACTGGGAACCCACCAAAGCTTTTGCCCAAGTATAGTAGTAAAATGTTAGCTGATCAGACTCCCTCTGCTGCAGTAGACTCTTATCCTGAAAACAAATGTGAGCTCCCTAGGGATCACCAAGGCAAAGAAGCAGGGTCTTGTGGCATGCCTAAAGATCCTATTCCCCTTACTGACAAGTCAACAAAGGGGGACCTATTTGCAGGTGATATTATTGATTTACAGTCCCGACGTCCCATATCGAATGATCCAATTTCCAGTGTGAAATCGGTACCTTCCAAGCCCGAGAAGGTCGAGAAGCCTGCTTCTAAGAAAGATGCATCAGCAGCTCGTAAGAGAAATTATGATCCGGATTTATTTTTCAAGGTTAATGGAAAGCTCTATCAAAGGCTTGGAAAGATAGGCAGTGGAGGAAGTAGCGAGGTCCACAAAGTCATTTCTCAGGATTGCACAATCTATGCATTGAAAAAAATAAAGCTTAAAGGGCGTGACTATGCGACTGCATATGGGTTCTGTCAGGAAATTGAATATTTAAACAAACTCAAGGGAAAAGACCACATCATCCAACTCATTGATTATGAGGTACGTGCTCTAGATAAGTAATCACCTGTGTAATATATTTTGTTGTCAAGTTACCTATACTCCTTCTGGACTCAAGTTCTTGTTTCCCATTCTTTGAGTTAGAAACATGCAATGGTCTTTTTGACCAAGCTAAGCACACATGCATATGCAAATATATTGAATTTTTGGGGTGTGTGGGGTAAGAATGTGTATTTAGCTCTCCAATTATCCCATGCCCCCATTTCTATAAGCTCTCTGCTCATAGTAACATGATAGCTGATTGTTTCAATTTACAAATATAAATCTGATTTTCCGTCTTCTATTTGAGTAAAAGAAGCAAACAAACATCAAACGTTACTGGTTCCAAACTACCTGCTGCATGGTTTTGAAACTGATCTTGAACTTCCCAGTTCCAATGCTATTATGATTTAATGTTTGTGATTAAGATTTCTTCCTGCGTCACCATCAATAATGTTTCCCATGTCTGCTTGGTCATATTTTCTGGTAATCGGCCTTACATGATAGTGGTAAATGTTGTTGATGCGATGAATGCAGTTGATGATTTCATGGTCTTAGATTACCATGCTTGTGGCTATTTTTGGCCCGTTTGGACTTGGTTCACAAACTTGCTCATGTGAAATATGTAGTTATATTGCTTATGATTGATTAGCCTTTTTAACGTCATCTTGAGGAAAGAACTATATGGTCTATAAATCTATAAAATAATATCTTGGTTATTTAAATCTTGGGCAACTGCACAATCCTTGTTCCCTGTGATGTCTCTTGCTCATAAAACTATATCCTCAACTTAGCATTGAAGTCTTTGACAAATTGACAACTAAACCATGGGACCGGTTGAACACGTAAGATATATTTTCAGCATACATAGTATCTTTTGCAGCCTTCAGTAAGGTACATTTCTTTCTTCAATTACTTGTGCTTGTCAAGTTTTTACTTGGTCATGTTTTCCTTATTCTCAGTCTTTACTAATGAGGATGATAGCAAGGCAATAGGAAAATTTAGAAGAATATTATTAGGAAGATATATTTTGAGATATACTAGTGTTTAGTTATGCAACACAATATAGTTGGGAATCCAACATAATTAGAACAAGAATCTATGAGAATTTGGTATAACATGGGACATTTATTAGGAGTTGATAAATATATTGGTTTGACTTGTTGAAATACGATTTGCCTGCTATTTCATTTATAAGTAGATAAATTACATGGATTATAGGTCCTATTTGATGGCCCATTTTTCTCTTAATAACTATATAGTCTAACTAGGGAAATACGTTGTTTTAAAAAGGTTATAGGTTGATATCTAGACTAAATACTAATATTTCTAGTTTTGGCAACTCTATCTAACTATGGAAATACTACATAGATAAAGTACTAGTTGCACACATAAGTTATATGGAAACATCCCCCTCAAATTGATGTATGTTTATCTAGAAACATCAAAGCCCATAAGAAAGCTCTTTGCAAAGTTGTTAAAGGCACACTTATGTGCAAGGGGTTCTTGGGGCCTAGGTGCGAGGTGCAAGCATGAGGCGTGGGCCTCAGGAATGCAAGACGCATCTCATCAATATACACACACAATTACACACAACTCAAATATGCAGTCAACAAGTACAAGCCTCCAATGCAGCAACCAACAATACTTCGATAGAGGCAGAAGGGAGAAGGGTTTAAAGCGTGAGCCGTGAGGGAGAAGTTTTAAGGTCTGGGTATTTATAGAGGAGGCTTGAAGTTCTACGGATTGGGTATCCAATATTAGGGTTTTGACTCAAGTCGTCTATTTAACAACTCTTTTTTAAGAAGTCTAGGAGGTGAGAAGATGAGAAAAATTATTTAATATTAGGGTTTGACTAGGTATTTAATAAATCTTTATGAGTCACGCCTAGGCACACAAGGCGCATCGTCTTAGTGAGCCTCGTGAATACGCCTAGCCTCGACTTTAAAAAAGCCATTGCCTTGAGTCTTATGAGCCTCAAAGCCTAGCTATGGCTTTCTGTAATGATAAACATATCGCCTCTATGTGCGTCACATTGCTGCATCTAATGTCCTGCCATTGCCATTGCCATTGTACCGTCGCCGTTGCCATCTTGTCATCTTGATAAACATACCGCCTTTCTGTTGTTGTCACCTTGTGTCAGTTTCTGTCGCACCACTAGCATGTGTGAAAAGGAGTGGCTCTTTTGGTACTTAATGGCAAGTTAGTTTATTTGATTTTTTAATTTTTCTAGCTGATTCCTTTAGCTACAAAATATTTTTATCAGTATCTTCTTTCATGGGAAATAGTCCGAACTGCATGACAACCAAGAAACTGTTGGATCATCTACAACTTCCATTCTCTACCAGATAACCTTCTCACATGCATAAGCAATCTCACAAGCATATTGGCTATGTGAACAAGGAGACTAGCTTGACAGAATATTTTACCTGATTTGAGAAATTGTATGATGAATTACAGTGTGTTATCGATCAATGTAGATCCAACTATGCAACAGGAATGACATGATGCACTACTCGGTCTCGTGTTTGTTGGGGGACTTTCTCTCCAAATATGATGAAGGCTCATACTGCTCGACCATTCTGCCATTTCATCGTCATCTTCTGCCTACCATCTATTATGAGAGATTCTCCCTTATGACATCATCTGCTAGTTTCGGTCTTAAAACACCAACTTTTACCACATGACCATATCAACACTTTTTGCATCCCGTAAAGGTGGTGAATCCTTTAGATGGTCAAAGAAGAAAATCTAGTGTCATTATGCAAATAATTTGGACATTAAGTGGCATTGTCGTATATCATCCTCATAAGGGACCTGGGTCTCATCCACCACCATATCCTACATGTGTTCATGTGTTCATGTAGCTGCTAGTTTGCTATTGATTCTACCTCATCTAAATCTTTCTGGAAGGTCTTTATGTGAGGAGACAAGGTATGTTCCATTCCTACTGCCAGTACATCGCTATTAGGTGCATCTAATTTATCTACTGTTGTCCTCCTCGGAAAAATGCATGTGTCATCATGTGCTTATACAACTCTAATATAATGGTGTATATCAGTATATGATTAGAAAATCCATGATTTGTTTGATATAGTCTACACTTTGTTGTTTAGGAGGATATTATGAATGTCTTTCTCTTTTGACTCTCTTTGTATGGTCTCAAACAATATTCTAGGGCTTGGTTCGATTGTTTCACCCAAGTTTTATCACGGTTTAGGTTGCCTAGAAGTGACAATGATTATTTAGTTTTCTATCGACATTGACAAGGCAAATATAATTCTTTGGTATATGTCGATGACAGTTCTAATAGGTAATGATTATTATGGCATCAAGAACTTGAAAAGCTTCATTGGTACCAGGTAACCGTTTTTGGGCATCTTCGTTGCTATATGAAATTGAGGCCTTGCTATCACAACAGGGATACCGTTATATTAGAGAAACTATGTATCAGATCTTTTATACTAATGTGTTTTACTAGGTTGCAAACTAGTGGACTCACTGATGGCCCCAAATAGGAAGTTGTGACTAGAAGATGGGAAGCTTCTCAAAGATTCAAAGAAATATAGATGGCCGGTAGGAGTTTTAGGAGATGTAGGACTAGGGTACTAAATTTAAGGTAGGGACCTGTAGCTAGTCCGAGTAGTGAGTTAGGGAGGGTGATGGTAGGACAGGGGAAGGTGTAGGGAGTGGACGAATAGGCTATCAGATGTCTGCATTAGATGGAGGGTTTGTGTGTTTTCTTACTTGGTATATGTTTTTCTTTACCCATTTTTCCTCTTTTTTTTCTGCTGCTTAATATGTGATAGCCTTGATCATCCTTCTTGTTCTTGTCCTTCCCTTTTTTCTCATACTTTCACACAAGCTGTGGGTCTTCCTGGAAACAACTGCTCTACACTTTGGGGCTAGAGGTTAGGTACTCACAGAATCTCTGTTTTCAACCATTAATATCCAGAAAAATGGTTAGTTGGGATGATTAATATATATGCTTCAACTTGAGAAGTGTTAAGAGGATGTGGATTATGTATATAATATGTTAGTCGTGTTCTTGTCTAAGTTAAGAGTGTTTATCCTTATCTCTTAGTCTACGTGACAATGTTATGAACCTGCATAAATAACGTCTTTTGCCAAGGAATAATATTAGAAAAATTGCTTGAACTCCCATGATTATAAAGATGCCAGGTATAATTCTAGCCTGTTACACTGAATGAGAATTGTTGTACTGGCACTCCAAGCATCAGGGGCTAGCTAAACTGGGTGACACCGTACTTAGTCTTCCAAATAGTTCAAGGCAAAAAGGATGAGGAAGAAGCCTGAAGCCAACTTCAAAACCCTCATAAAAGATTGGAATATCACATTGGAAGAGTAACAAGCTCTGTCACCCTCATCAGGAAAGACCAACTAAAGGATAGGAGATTGTGTAATCCCCTGATTTTCACTAAGTTGTCCAAGTTGTGACAAAATCCAACATCAAAAGTAGAATGAGGAGTGGCGGACTAAAAAGCCACTTGAGCACATGCCTATTTTAATCTTGGAAACTGCAGAATGGAGTCAATCAGGATATTGTTCGGTTTGGTCATAAGCAAATTAAGCACATCCATCATAGCACTCTACTCATGGGGAATAAGAGTCTTTGAGGTTGAACTCAGCAATTTTAATTTGCTATGAAACACTACAACACTATTGAAGACTTGCACGTGTGAAGTACATTCACAAAGGAGGGGTCTCATTGAATTGAAGACTTCTCAAATGTAGATATGATAGGATGCCATTTAGGGTATGTTTGGTACATTGAACAGGAGAACGAAACCGGGATCACTATTCCATGTTTGTCATGACTTTTATGTGGAACAAACAGGAACAGAGTGGAACAAAGTGGAAGAGGCATGTTCCACCCCCACCTGATGGAACAAGTCTATATTTTACCAGTATACCCTCAAAATAAAATCTAATTCTCTTCTAAAATATCAAATATGCTTTCCCTCTTCACATTTTTCCATTCTTTAAATAAGAACTGGAAATTAATGAACTTCATATTTTGGTGACATTTTAATCGTCTTGACGACAACCTTCTAATGATATATCTCGTTATAAAAAATATTTGTTTTATCATAATTTAATAAATTATTTAAAGTAATCAAATTATAGAAAAGATATAAACAATTCATTAGGGGTAAATTGGTCATTTTACGAGTCTTGTCCAGTCGTGTCTTACCAGAAGTTGCATTGCTATCTTGTTCTGTCCTTTCTGGGTACCAAACACACCCTTAAGCTATGCTGTTAAAATCGTGATATATCGCCAATATATCGGATATCGGTCTCTGGAAAAATATCGGTGGTGAAATATCGGTCAAAATATCGGTTCTGATAATATCGCCGATATTTTGATGGAAAAACCTGTCCGATATACCGATTTTCTGTAAGGCAAATGTTTGGGCTTTTTTTATTACATGTTGGGCTTAGTTTTTTGGGCCTCTTTATTTGGTCAACCAGTCAACACATATATTAGGTCTCACGCTACTTCTCTTCTCGGTTCTTCACAGTTTACATTTCTTCTCTTCTTGGTTCTTTCATAGTTCACGCTTATTTTTGAACACTTCTCCTATTTTCTTTTATGAGACTTGTTTATGTGACGTTTTAATTTTGAAACTATATTTCTAAACTCTAATTAATGCATATGATATGTTTATGGATACATACATACATATATATATATATATACATACATATATACATACATATATATATATATA